TTTTAAAGAAAGAAGTGACAGAACTTGATGGTAGATTTTGATATTGGGGACAAAGAAAGAGATACAGGTCAAATCTACTTCCTAAGGATGCTGCAAGAAGAATGATAGTCTTACTAACAGAAGTAGGATAATTTGGGAAGGAAGTCATTTTGTAAAGAGGCTGAATAATTCACTTGAAGGCATTTTGAGTTTGAAATTATAAAAGGCTATCAAAGTGGAGATACTATTGAACGTATTGGGAGATGTGGCACAAAAACGTAGGTGAGAGCCTGGGCCTGTTATACAGAATATGGGGGTTATCTTTTGACGAAGTGTTTGTAGATGTGGTCATGTAGGGAAAAGAGGAAACGAAGGTTGGGGCAACTGAGAAACCATGTATATTTCTGTAAATAAAAGTCAGCCATTTCCACTTAATGTAAAGCTGATCAGAGGCTATTAATGTGATAATATGTAAAATCACATAGTCGTACTGTCATTAAAAAGAAACATTCAAATACTATTCCATTTCATAAATGAGTAAAACTCTAATTACTAGTATATTTTGTTTTTTTGAAGATTAATTCATTTATTGAAGAAACATCTATTCTTTCATCCAATATTTTTTTGAGCTACTACAGTGTGCCAGGCACTGTTCCAGCCCTGAGATCACAAAGGGAGACAGGCAGACAAAATCACTGCTCTTTTAGAGATAATATTCTGGTTGGGAGAAACAATAAACAAATTAAAAAATGTATAAAGTGTCATGGGATAATAAGTACTATTAAAAAATGTAGGAAAGCGGGTACGGGAATAGATAATGACATGGGGGAGGATGCTATTTTGGATGGAATGGAGGACAGTCAGTGAAGTCTATTTTTAAAAGAAAACATTTAAACAGAGACCTGAGTGAAGGGGCCCAGGAGCCATATAGTATTGTGCAGGAGGAGCGTTTTAGTCAGAGAGAACTTTAGCTGCAAAGGCTCTGAGTAGCAGCAAGCTCGGGTTGTTTAAGGAACAGGCAAGAAGGCCAAGGTGCTGGAGTGAGGTCTATAAAGACTTGTAGGCAATGAGTTCACAAACTGGACAGATCATATACCATTTTGCAGGTCATGGTGATGATGTCTTTATTAATAAATTCATCTTGAGGATATCATTCAACATCTTGGGATTTACATAATATTGTTGAGAAATGGGAACCACATTGAAAAAAACAGGAATGATTCCCTGCCCTACTGAATTTATATTCTGAAGATTCTAAGGTCTAGAAGGCTTTTAACCTTTCTATATTATGTGAGTGTTATAGAATGCTTTCACAGTTCTTCATATCCACTGATTTTTAAAAATTTGATCTTAAACAAATAGAGCAAACTTTCAAACTTTTCATTTAAGCAGCAAAACCTTTTTCTCAAATGAAATCTTATCTAGACTCTAATATATAAAACAGACAAAAGTGAAGCTGCATGAATTACAGCAAGAGAAGCAAACTTAGAACAAACCCATCGGGCCTTCTCTTTGCTCCTCCCATCCTATGAGCTTCTGCCTCTCAAACCTTAGGGCTGGTGAGTAGTTCCTAAATCAGGCTCTGTTTCTGAATTACATGGGAAAACTTAAAATAATGGGTTTCTGGATCTATGCTAGACTTCCTTAATCAGAATCCCGAAGGGTACATCTGGTGAATCTGTTATTAATAAAAGCTTCACAGGCAATGCTAATTTTCAGGCAGGATTGGAAACTACTGCTGTAGAATA